AGGCGGCACAAACTCAGATCCAGACGTCTGCAAATGCAGCAGCAGTGGTCACAAACGCCCAAGCGCTCTGAGAAGCAGGGCAATCAGCAGGCTGCTGCCAGAGGTGCAACTGCAGTCCACAGCACGATGCACAGAGGTATGCAGTGCAGGCTGCTCCAGACTTGTTCTCCCACTTTGTGTCAGTGTACACAACGCTGACTCCAAGCTGTCTGAAGGAAGACTTTTGAGAGGCAGTAATTAAGCAGGATGCTTGGTTTTAGTTGACTGAACCATCCAGAAACCAGGCCAAGAAAAATCTCAGCACTCCTCTTCTGGGCTGAAATATTCCACGTGACCAGGTAGGTGTTTTTAGAACTACAGCTACCACAGCTTTCTATGCAGTTATATAACCTTTTTGGTGCCACTGGTAGAGCAGAGAGGAGTAAAAGGAAAAAGAAGGCTGGTTTATGTTGCTTCATGAAGTGCTGGCAAGCAGCACTGGCTGCATGCGCATACGGAGCCCTGAACATCTTTGAAGGTGAAGTCATAACCCAACGTTCCAAATTTTACATTAGAGCTTACTATATATAGCAGGCACGCAATAAGCTTTGATTTCTGCTGCATGCAGTTGCAGGGTGCTTTGTTGACGAATGGCTGAACGGATGGATGTGGAGGGTCTATTAGCTAATAGCAGAACAACAAAAGTCCTCAGAAAGGCAGCTTTTTAACATTTAATGGTATCACAGTCACAGCACGCCTGGGGGCAAGGGGGAATAAAGGATTCCAGACTGGAAATGAAAATGGATATACATACTGTAAGCTTGTTCCACATAGAGATAAATACGAAAGTCTACAGCAGTATTTGTAAAGAGCTTTACTATTAAAGAGCTGCCTTTATAAAATCTGAGATAAGCTGGCTTTTTAATCATTGCGAAAGATAACAGAAAAGCAATTGTTTAGCTCTAGGAACTTCAACTTTACGCAGCTGCAGGACTAAATATGAAGTTCAAATATGATGTTATCAAAAAAGTGAGCAGAAAGCAAATGCAACAGAGCAAGAGAGCTTCCTGTCCTCAGGAGAGCATCAGCTACGGAGTGCACAGTCAGGCTGCAGTGCCATGCACATGGGGCCTGGGCACATCCCGCAGTGGAGGCTGTTGAGAAATGCATCCCCAGCACCCAGCTGCAGCCTCACCACTCCCCACAAAGCCCTTCTGCCCACCCCCCACCTCTGCAGACCAATCCCAGACCCGAACTGGGCTGAGGACAACACAAGAATTCGCCCCAGGTCTGTAAAAGCCTCCCAGCTATCACTCCAGGCAGACGGTGCTGAGGTCAGTCTCTTTCACTCCATATTTCAGCCTGTTTCTTCTGGCTTTTATTTTTTTTCCCCAACCTACAGTCCATAGCTCTGATCACCAAGAGCTCAGCTCTCCACAGCAGCCACTTTGGTACACAAAAGGCAAGTTCTCCACTGTATTTCTAGCATCGTCAGCTGCTGCCGCAGGGCACCTCGCAGGCTGACCAGGCTCAGGGACACCAGCGTCCTGTTCCCAGCAGCCTCCTGCCCCCGGGTTGCCACAGACGCCCCAGGGCTGCAGGGCCAGACCTGAGCCTGAACTGTCCTCCCCCTTCAGCTGGGCAGCACACAGCCCACCCCCAGCTGGGACTTTGGATGGCCCCAAAGGGCTTCCAAAGGACCGGCAGAGCCGATGCCCTCCACAATCCCAGGCACTCACTTTTCCAGGCCCTGCAGTAGGAGCAGTGCCAAGGAAGGGCCGGGCCAAGTGCTGGCTCCAAGCCCAGGGAAGGTGGGACCTGACAGCCAGCAGGGCAGGCCCAGGCCAGGGAGGCCAGCTCATCTGCTGGTGCTGTCACTGCTTTCAGGCACTGCTGTTAACAACGGCCTTCAGCCTCAGAGCGAGCAGAGCCAGCATCAGCGCTGTGGCACCAGCACAAACTCAGCTGCGAAGCAGGAGCCATCTCTGCAGCACACAGTGCCAGGCTGGTGGCAGCCCTGCACAGAGGCTACAAAAGCAGAAGCTACAAGGCCTGAGAACATGCTGAGTGTGTGTTTTTCTCCTGGCTACACTGTGAACCAAGTGTCTTACCACGTGGCTTTTACGAGCTGCTAGCCTCCCTGCTGTTCTTCCAGAAACCTTGGTTTAAAGACAGTGACAAGGTTTTAATAAAGTACACTCCTTGCAAAAGAATAAGGATAGAATAATAAACACTCAAAACTGTCATACCAGCTTTTCCAACCCAAAAAGTTTTCTTTTTTTTTTTTTTTAAATCCAGTTGCTTGCTGTTCTTTATGCATTTGCAAATACTTGAATGGCTTGTATGTTTTTTCCAGCAGTTCCCCTCCATGGCTTACAGCACCATATGTCAGCAGAGATCCACAACAGAATGTGTCAGCAGCTCCCAAGCCCTGCAGTGCCTGGACACTCAGGAGCAAAGTGCAGATGCTGGACGCACCTCCTGAGCACAGCGAGGGGCCCTTGTGCAGCTCCTGGAGAAGTCACCACACGGTGCACTTTTCCAGCTGCAAAGTGCAGTATTACAGCCACACGCCTGCTCCTGGAAACAGCTGTAACCGATCCGAGGCTGTGCTGCCTGTCAAAGACCAGAGCCTTCTGACATTGAATTGTAGCTCAGGTGTCAGTGTGCAAGTCCTAGGACTAAGGAAATGCAAACATGAGAGAAAAGTTAAGTTACAACATTCAGGAAAGAACAGTCAACTAGCAGCTGGTGAAAACGCTGCAGAGCTTCCCTAGGATCACTCAAGGAAAGCAATAAAGTCCTGGTGGAAGAGAACTAGATAGAGGGCAAAGCTCAGAACCAATGAGCTGTCATCCAAGTGACGTATCAAAGCCCCAGCACGTGGGTTTGGCAGGGAATCTGAGCAAGCATGGCACACGTGGAACACAGGAAGTTGTTTTGTTCTGCTTTTCTCGTTTCCTTCTGAGTAAATGCAGCTGTTTCTCAAATCATCATGCAGGCAGCTCACCTCAGACACAAGTAAGGCAGAAAATCAACTTTACAAAGCCAGCTGACCACCAACACAACAGCAGTACATGGTAAATGCCTCTATGCATTTGCACGTACGTGGGAAGGCTTGGCCAAAGAACTCACAGGGAAGGAAGGGTACGGTGTAGCCATGTCATCGCATCGTTTTCTCGTTGCTCTCATCATCTTCTCTTTGCCCTCAGTTTACAGACCTGCTCCATCCTCTCTGCTCTTTTCCTACAGGACAGCACAGCTCACAGTACTACGCAGGCAACAGCATCCACCTGCTGACGTGGCCCCAAAGCGGTTTATCCAGGAGCCGTGGATCCTGGCCATTATTCACCATAATGCAGCTTCTGAGCATTAGGATTATTTATGCTCCAGATCTAGCTAGTAACAAATTTGGGTCAAATGCGAACACTCTCAATATAGTAAAGCTTCTAGCCACAATTAAGCAGCAAGATCAAGGCCGAAGCTTAAATGCTGCTGCTGCCATTACATATTCTTACTTGACTGACTGTCCAGTTGTCCAGAACTGATGGTTGGACTGGATGATCTTGAAGGTCTTTTCCAACCTTGGTGATTCTGTGAACCCTGAGCCCACAAGATGAACATGCCACAGTCTCAGTACACACTCCTACCAGGCTTGTTGGGATGGAATAACTCAATTCAAGCAACTTTGTCACTCTCCAGCAAAGGATACAAAAGACCTTTTTTGCCCCAGGATTATAGGAGCACTAGCCATCACAGTCCCATTGCACTCCAATTGCTGAGGTACAGAACAGTGAGCAGCCCGCAGCAGAAGCAGCACTGGCTCACGCACACAAACAGTCCTTCTGGCATCAGAAAGAAAACTCGGGGAAAAGCTTGCAAGACAACACAGTGAACCAGTAAAATCCACTGCAAGACACTATGTAACAGGTGCATATTTGACAAGGAGATTCTGCCCAATGATAAGTAATGGTTTTCAGATTAAAAACTAGTCCACCCCCTTGTTTAATAGTATCACAGATGAGGTCCCACCTAGGAAACTACGACTGGAAGGTTGTGCAACAGTTCTAGATCTTCCTCAAGGTGATGGAATTTTCCCCATGGATTTCAGTGCGGCAGGCAGCAGCAGTGCTACACACGGCCATCCACTCCCAGCCACACTGCGCCCGGCATCTACAGCCACTGCGTTTTCATCAGGGACAAAGTTTTACTGTTTAGTGTGAGAGGAGACCTCCCCACCTCCACACTTGCAACCAGCAGAAGTACAATACAGAGGCATCAAAAAGAATTAGTTCTCATTTCCATGTTTCCAATTTTATGTCCTCCACGATGTTGCAGGTGAAGACCAAAAGAACAGCAGTTGGTGTCCTGACCGGCCTGCAGCAATGCACCAATGCTGCGGCAAGCCAAGCCAGGGGCTGTGAAACACTGCTCCCCAGCAGCCAGTTTTTAGTAGCATCATTTTCAATAGTCATAAAGAAAGTGCCATCATAAGAAATAAACAGTGCAGGGTTGCAGTAACTGCAGGGGAAGAAAGGACCTTCAAAAGCATCTAATTCTTGTGGGTAACCACTTGGTATCAGCACCTAGGTGTGATAAATACAACCTCAACTCCAGGAAGAGTCTTAGTTCAGAAAACAGCCTGGGGCTGCTGACCCTTCAGCCTGACAGGATTAGTTCTGCCTCAACTGAGTTACCACCAGTACTCACCACATCCCAGCTGCAGATGACTCTCCTACCACTGCAATTCCATCAGCTCTCCGAGCAAACACTGCTCGCTTCCTGAAGGGGTCAGCTGCTTTGGGCACCCCTCACAATTTGGGCCTCGGTCCCATAGTCCTCCCAAAGCTGTGGAGCCAACAGCTCTTATCGCCTCTGAAATCACCACCACCTCCTCACACCCAGGCATTTAAGACTAAGAACTGCTGAGATCAGTTCTTAAGAAATGCAAACAGTGGAACGTTGGTTAAAAAAAGATATGGAAGCTTCTCCAAGGAAGCACTGGCCCAGCAAGCACTCACCTGATACTGGTGGCACAGTTATGTTTCAAACTGTGTTAAGAGATCTCTTATTTCTGGAGTCAGGTGCTCCACCGCCTTGGCAGCCTCTGTGATAGCTTTGCGATACATCCCTTTCTTCTTGCGATTAAATCTCAGTTTGAAAAATTCAGAGAAAGGAGAAAGTTTTGAAACAGATAAGAATGAAGTCGTTGGAGAACCAAACCACGACACTTTGGCTTCTCGCCATGAAGGTTCCCCATTTTCCTTCTGGCTAAGGTTTATGTCAAGAACGCGCGCCGGCCACCACGGAAATCCATGAATTTTACCCCAAACAATATCCCCCACTGCTACAGTCCTTCCGTCTTCAGTGACGCATTTAGACACGCTTTGGGTATGCAGCCTAACTGTCAAGGGTGGCACAATTTTACGCTCATCTTTTGAAGATGAAGAGACAGACGCATCATCACCAGGTAAAAAGTCACACATTTCTGGTGATGTTACCTCCGAACTAGAAGACTTGGATTCGTCTAGACTGTCATTACTACACACTGACAAACTAGAAGAATCCGCTTTTCTCTTCCGGTAATTCATAAGGAAAGCCAAGTTTTCGTGTCCGTCTTTACCTTGGGGAAACCTTTTAAAGTCGTCATCTTCACCCGAACTCCCCGAAGAGATCTCGGCCAAACCTCTGTCTGCTGATTCATTGGCGTAAAATGCACCGGGATTCGTCTCCCTGCTGTTCTGAAGGACGTTTATCTCATCGATAAGTTCTGCCTTATAGATAGAAACGCTCTGGCCGTCGTTGATGCGATGGGGCTTCAGCCGGATCTTTGGAGGCGGGACATCAGCACTGGGATGCACCGGCCGCGTCAGCTTCAGTTTGGGGATGGAAGCAAGCTGGCTGCCCACTGCCTTGTCCGTGAAGCCCTTGGTTTCTTGACATTGCTCAGCATCTCCGACCTCCTCCCGGTCCTCCTCTCTGTTCTGCAGCAGCTGTTCAGGACAGAACGGTTTCACTGAGCCGTGCACTCGGGAGGGGATCTTCACCACCTCGCCTTTCCCTTGCGGCGTGCTGTAGGATATTTTGATAACTGGCGTGCGATGCACCAGCTCCCCGGCAAACTTGTCATCCTCTCTCTTCTCTCTTTTGTTCCTTTTCTCCAGGCACTCAGAGTCGCTGTGCTTTTTCTGTTCCTTGTCTTGAACGCTCAGCTTCCTCCTGGTTTTAGCGTTCTGCCCCGCCGCATTCTCATCCTCAGGGTTCAGGGTATTTTTACACTTCTCGCAGAGCACCTGCCTGGGCCGCAGCCTGATGGTGCTCATGATCAGCCGTCCCGGGTCTCTGTTCCGCGACAAACGTCGCCGCGTCCTCTTGATGGCCCGCGGCGGCGGCTGTGGAACCCACTGGCTGTAGGTGTGCCGCAGCCACAGCGGGCGTGGGAACGGCGCTCCCTCGAAGTAGGGCGGGTACGGCGGCACAACGCCGGGCGGCGCGGGCAGCAGCGGCGGCACCTGGTCGTCCCCGGGCTGCGGCTGCATCTCACTGTGCGTGGGATCAGCAGGAATGGCGCAGGCAGTGGCAGGAGGGTCCTCGGGCTTTGGGAAGGAGGAGGGCAGACAGAACAGCCCGGACCTGGAGCGGGGTGAGAGATGGAGGGAGACGGTCAGGGTGGTGGAAGAGGCACCTCTGGATGGCTGCGCAGCTAACGCGCCAGTTCCACAAAAACAGAAAAGCACACCACAAAAACCTCCATGTCCTAATAATGCGGTATTTTTCCCTTTTAAAACAAGGCAACCATATCTACAACTGAAAGAAACAACCGTTTCAAAATTTAGAAAAGATGTCCTACTCCTGTGCCAGAGAAGGCACAGAGAACAGCTTCTCTTTCCACTCATTGTTTGCACAGAGAGGTTCTGCACTGACTTCTAAGTTCCAGAAGGCAAAGCAGCACGCTCTGGGAACAGGCTGGTACAGGCACAGGAAGGCAGTGCTCCATACGTGCAAGCGCAGCCCCAAAGGAGCCACCAAAGCCCCTGCCCGCACTGTGCCTGCACACCTGGCTTTCAGCTTCCCACTCAAACCCGCAGCACCTGGTTTTGCTGTGCATCTCCTGCTTCCCAACCATGGGCTCACTGGTGTAGTTCTGCTCCTCCCCTCATCTTTGCATATGTGACCATTTGTAACAACAAATACGGCACTGCTTCAGGAGAGCCAGGGTAAGGGCAGCAACTGTTGGTCACTGCCTCATTTCAGCATGTGTCATCCAAGCACAGGTACCATACCTTGCACAGGTACTGCCATAAGAAATTCGTCTGCGGCACCAAATCTCAGAACTGCGCCTCATCTCTGGCACCAGAATCCCTGGCTGTGGCCTGACACTTGGCAATATAATGCCAGCACAGCACTTCAGCAAATATCCACCCTTATGCACAGCACCAGAACGGGCATCTCTCGCTATCCTGATTTTCCAGAGATCCTTCTGTGGGGATCCTTAAGCGTTTCAGCTTCTTTACCATTTCTGAAATGAGGTATGGATGAGTCACTAAAAGCCCCAGCAATGCAGAGAAGCCACAGACCAGGCAGCAGATGCAGCCATAGACTGCAGCTCCACGGGAGCTCACCGGGCACTGCTCCCCTTCCAGCTGGCAGGGAACAGCTCAGGGTGGCACAGAGAGGGCTCTGACCACTCTGAGGGGCTGTCACAGGGGATGGGGTGACGCTCTGAGCCCCAGCTTCGCTCTCCTTCACTCAGTCGCAGACCATCTCTCTCACCTGACCTCCATGAAGACTCCAAAGTTTAAAACCAAAGCTTACACAAAGAAAGCAAGGAGGAATCAATCCGATTCCAGTACCAGGTCACCGCTCCTCTCCTGCTGAAATAAAAGATCAACTGAGGTGCCCAGATGCTAAGGAGAGGGTTTACCGAAGGCCGGAGAGCAGTGTGCTGCGCTGTGTGGTCGGTGTCATGGGGAACTGCGGAGGGCTGCTTGTGTAATTGGGAACGTGTTCTTGTCCTAAGAGCTCAGGCTCGTCCTCAAGGAGACAACTGAGAGGGCAGGTACCTCTCAAATAACAACCAAGGGAGCAAGCACACACTGTGCAGCCAAAGATGTCAGCATTGTTCATAGGACAACGGGAAGTAGCACCATCTCCAAAGCTCTGCCTATAAATTTTGGTTATTTCAGGCCATAAAACCATTCCATTTGGCCGTCCCAGAACACTGCCCCACAGGAACCCACTGCTGCTTCCCCGCAGCAGCTCGCTGTTACCGCAAGGAGAAGCGCAAACCGCGCTGGCCTTCTCACAGCCTGGCTGCTGCTCACACCGCGCCCAGGTGTCCGCTGCTGCTTCTGCCCACAGCAGCCAATTCCATGCAGGGGCTGCGGGCCGGCGGGCACCGTGCACTGTGGACACCGCCGGGCCGGGCGCCCCATCCCATCCCCCCCATCTCGGGGCGCACACAGCCACGTGGGGTGGGTCCCCTCCATCCTCGGAGCGGGAAACACCGTCCTTCCATTTATACTTGCGCACAATTAATAGCGACCCATCAGGGGTTCGGCTGCAACAAAATCGGTTCCGTCAGCAAAGGCGCCGACCTCAGCCGAACGCACCGCCGCACCCCCCACGAGCGCGGCACCCCTGACCGGCGCTGCGGGAATGCGCGTGGCGGCGCGGCGCGGCCTGCAGGGCGGCTCGGGGTCACCTCCGCCGGGCGGCGGCACGGAGCGGGAGGGAGGGCGCGGGGCAGCCGTCCTGCGCAGCGGCGGAACCCGAACCTACCGACGTCCTTCCGTGCCCGCCGCATCCCCGGCGGGGCCGGGGCCGACGAGCGGGACGCCGTACGGCGCGGGCACACGGCCGGCCCGGCCCCGCGAGGCTCACCGGGTGCGGCGCCCACGGCCGGGGG